GTGGTCGTTCCTCCGCTGTAGCTCTTCTATTTCGTCGCATTTTTCTGTCAGCCATCTTTGTTTAGCTTGTCTTATTTCTCTTCTTATTCTTGTGTTCACCTCTTTATATTTTTGGGCATTTCTGTTCTTATATGTTGCTTCATAAGTTCCTGTAAAATTAGCATAGGCAGGGCCTCTATATGTCTAATAGTTATATGAGTATACCATATACCTATTTTTAGTACTTTGCGATTTATTTTAACTTTTCCAGTATGCACCCTCCTTTCCGTCTAAGACTAGAGCTACAATAGTAGCTGGCCATGGCAAAACTGTTAGCCAACGGGGCTCTGTTCAGATTGAAAAGTGAACAGGATAAAGGTCTTTGTTGTGGCCGTAGACAAAGCCTTTTTGGTGAAATTTTAAATTTAAAATTCTCAGAAAAATTAAATAATATTAAATACCTATTATACAAATTGACTTATATAAGTTTTAAGCATTCTGGAGTTCTCGGGGTTTTCCAAATATGTGGACCAGCGTCGTCTCATCATCATCAGAATTATTCCCTGTCCGCTTGTCTGCTACAAAAAGTTGTTATAGTCAAGATCTACTAAATCAAGAAAGAAGAAATTTTTAAAAAGGCAACGGTCGTTCCAAGTAGTTAAATCATGTTTTCATTGTCATGGAAATAGTTACTGCTTTTGCACTTTTCATCGTAACAAAAGTTTAATTTAACTTACGTTCAACTTATTTTGCGCACTAGTGCTCTATTAATTACAAGTTTAATACAACTATAACAACTTAGCGGAACCATTTAATACATCAATTTTTCAAAGAAACTTCCCAAGCTACTGTAATACCATTTACAAAACTTCTGAATCCTCCTGATTATAGTCAAGAATTTTATTTAGTTTTATTGAATAAAATTTTATGTCCGGTTTCGTGATTGTGCTCTGCAATTGCCGATGAGTTTATTTTTCGTAGTCTTAAGGCTCTTTCATGTTCTTTGAGCGTAGTTGATATTTTTCTCCAGTCTCACTCTCTTCAATGTATTGCATGAAACGCTGTAAACGCTGTTTTTGACGGATCGATGATGTGATGTGATTTAAAGAGTATTTGTGATGGAACGCTTAAAAGCTCTAATGTGGAAGTTAGTAGAGAGAAGAGCAGATGCAAGGTGTTTTAATTTTAAGTTGATTGACTCGGCCTTCCGATAATTTTAGGGCTTTGTAAACAAGAGAGTTAAGTTGTTCTTCGTGAAGTTCATTACTTCGACGCGTTTTTTTTTTCCTAAATAGGTTTTCCACTTTTTCTTCTTTATTTTTACCTGTGTTTTTATTGCTTCTGTACAACATAGTTTTTTATATTACTTTTTGTTTGTTTATCCCACCAGCGTCTCTGGCTGAATTAGTTATCGTATCGTAAAGTTGCCATATTTCCTCCCATTTATTCAGTGTGGTTTGGATGTGTAAAATAGATCCTATCCCAGCCTGTGCTCCTTCTCGAATTCATTTACCAGCTCCACCTCTTCTCCATTCATCCCTCAAATGTCCCATGTTCCCATTCTGGTTATTTTGCGTATTTTCCTTTTGTGGGTGTCTTGCTTGTTTTTACAAATCATTTCCTTGTTCATTGTCTATTAAATGTAGCCACTTTATTTGTATTTGCTTATTTTTTGATTTTTCGAGATTCCTAGTTTTTTTCCACTTTCCACCATCCACAGTCAATTTATTATTTCCCATTCTAAGAGCCTTTCCTTTCTTCTCATGCTCTCACCCTTCAGATTTTTGTACATCCATTTGTAAATTGTAAATTTCGATCTCTGGTATCAAACGATAATCAATTCACAACAATATTGTTCTCTGTTTTTGCCTTTTCTAGTTTTTCAAGGTTATTTTCTTTGCTGCATAGTTTCAAGCTATTGTTCTCTGCCCTCAGTTCTTTCAGTTCTTCTCTGTATTCTTGTTGGTCTATTCTTATCTGCTTTACTTCCTGTTTCGTATCTCTTATCTCTTATATTTCTCCTTTAATGCCTCTCAATTCTCACAGAAGAAAACCCCATTTGTCTGTGCATATTTATTCAGTAATTATTATCTCCCTATTTTTTACACAATTATTTGGAGGCCAACTCTGTTCTCCTATCATACTATCGGAAAGTTTCTTAGAATTGCCTTATCAGCATTCACAAGTTTTGAACACTCTGTAGATACCATTACTAAGTGAAATGAAATAAAATTTGGCAGAGAAACTCCTGTCTTCATGCGGTTCCGATGTCAGTTTTCATCAAACTGATTAAATGATGTCTCCAATGAAAAAACGTTTTTAAATACGATTTTGGATTCTTGTCCTTGTTTCCGTTCAATATGTCCTCTCCAATTACACTTTGGGTGGTAGTAGTTGACTATCTGGTTTCAACTTCGATTTCTTTTCTTTTATGATAATTTCGCACAATAGATTTAAAAAATAGTCTCCTAATCATTTATTTCCCTAATTAGGAGATTGTAATATGCGGCCAGTAAAATTGTTGTCCTCCCCGTAAGCAATAAAATCAATTTATAACCTTAACAATGAAACTTTGTAAATACCGTGCAACAAACCGAATAATTTAATTCAGTGTTGTGTAGAACGCCATGCAAACAACCGAATATTATTTATTTATTTATTAAAAATTCAATGTTGCCGACCGATAGGCGATGATGAAAAGGCCGAATGGTTACGCGTGTTCGATACAAAAGACTTCTCGGTGGCTTTCGGTGTTTATACCGTAACATTTTTTTCTTATTGGTCGGGCGTTATGAATGAAATTCCCAGCTAAACAATTTTCATAAAATTTCGAAGTTGTAAAGATTTATTTCGTTTGTAAACTTTAAAAAATTGCAAATGAGTCGCGTAAATATACAGAAAACATAACAGAAAATTCGGAAACTTAACAGAACAAAAATCAGGCATTAGGTAAAGGTTGAGTGAACGATACAGTTCATTATCTCATTGGTTTAAAAAGTAATGAGAAAAGGCTGTTAGGACGCACAATTTAAAATTATTTTAATTTAAATTACATTAATTATATTAATTTTTCAGAGCTTGACAAACTTGTGACCATGCAAATTCTACTCAACTTTTCTTGAGCTTTTGAATGTGTGGATCATTTACTTTTATGCGTTAAATTGCAATACATGGGACTATCTGACGTTCCACTGGCCTTCTTTTGCAACTAGCAAAATAGAAGACTAGTTGTAAGGACGACAGCTGGTGTGTCGATAGTTGGTGAAGTGGTCTCAGGGGTGCGTCAGGAATCATTTGTTGGGCCGATATTATTTTAACTGTATCTATTTGATTTGGGTACCGCTCCGCAGTTTTGCCAGTTTCAGTCATATGCTGACGAAATCCAGCTTGTTTATATTTTCGATCCGTTCGATTATCGGCAGATACTTGTATCTTGAGATAAATGGGGAACCCTTGTCGTTTGCTACCAAGGCCAAAAACTTAAGAGTAACGGTGGACGTATAATTAAGATTTAGTGAGCCCATTTCTAATTTAAGTAAAAAAACTTGCCTTTTATGTAAGTCTATATATGCCAATAAGCATGTTTCACATATTATTGCCATATTGCGTCGTATTGTTTCACACATGTTTAACACTTCATGATCGTCAACGCCTTCAAAAAATACAAAACAACTGTTGCAGGGTTATGTATAGAAGATGTTAAGGCTTCTGGCCTTCACTATTTAAAATATAAGTTAGTTTTGGTTAGTTGGAAAATATATTAACTAACTTTACGATCGAGGGTTTACCAATAATGCGGCAAACACTTTGTACTGTATATTGTGTATTATGTATATTATATATCTCATTACTCAATAAAGACTGTTATTATTAAATATTATTATTATTAAAAATGTTTTAAAATTAAAAAATTGGCGAAGAAAATGATTGTTTAAACCTATATTTCCTCTTCATGTGAAATATAACAATATCTTGAACAAAGTTTTTACTACCAACAATTAAAATGATTATTTCCAATTAGTTCGTCGTCACTGTAGGTAAAAGGTAAATAGTATTTACTGTATATTATTTTTTAATGGCGTATCACCATATACTTTGAAGAACTTCTTCCACTAGAACGGATTTTGATGTCTTTTATAGTAATTGAAATGAAGTAATTAAAGGACTCTACTACAAAATCAGATATACTTTTTACAAATCTAATCATCCAACCATCCTGTTCGCCTCATTGAAGCTGAAGCTCTGATGAAACAAACATCGGTGAAACGTGAGCAACTTCGATTCACGAACAACCAAAGGACGAATTCAAAAGATTTGTAAATAGTATTACAGTAACCTCTGAAAGTTACTTGAAAAAAAAAAAGATGTAACCCACACACATTAACTCAGATATGATTATCATTGTGTTCAACTGGCCAATGCCCACACCAAATAAATTAATATGTAGTTGTTGTTTAACGCATACACTGAATCTATCGTTAGATCATTCAGGCAAGACCGACTAGAAAGAACTAGAAGTAATTTTTCCAGTAACTAGAAGTTACTGGAAAAATTACAAATTGGTGCGCAGACGACATTGTCATTGGACATCCACAAAGACTAATGAAAAGACTGACCGAGGATTTTATTGGAACAAGTTAAAAGATCAACACGAAATTTTAAGAATTACATTTACCTATAAACGAACAACAGTATCACTCAAAAGAAGCCGGAAGTAGGATTGGGATCGCAAGAGCTGCATTTCTGAACATGGGTAACTTACTATGTCATAGCTGTCCACAGCAGTCGTTCTGAGAACTTTGCTACTCATAACTTTTTTGAACTTTAGAAATACAGAATAATGTTGCAAATCAGCTGCATCACTAGAAACATCAGTGAAGAAGAAGAGATTTGGAGATACAAGTAATAGGATTTGATAACCAAATTAACTTATTAAAGATAAAAAATCTATAAGCTCCTCATCGAACCAATTTTAGTAATAAAGCGAGCTTTTGGAAACCTAGTTTGAAAATCGGACTTACCGTTTAGTATGTGTACCCTCACAGTTGCAGAATTGGCGTTGGACGGAGTACAGCTATACAAGCCCGAATCCTTTTGGACCGCTTTTTGGATCAAAAGTCTACTTGTTGTGGTCAAACCCTGAAATCAATGGTCAAAAGTGCACACGACCATTTTTTTTGCTTTTATATGCACATGTCGAAACTCAGAAACCCATGTAGATAAGGGTCGTTTTTTGTAAATTAACACTTTTCGCGGCTTGCAACATTTTCGTTTTTTATTTCTTATATAAAATTATTCTGACTATTGTAATTATTGTACAATAATGTGATTTCAAAATATTTTTTTATTCAAATCGAAGAAGTTTTACATTAATTTTTTACTCATAATTAATTGGCATACGTTCAAGATTTCATTGCAAATATTTCTAATAAAACATAATATTTTCTCTAAGCTATTTTTTTTTTGGAGTCTTCCCTAAAGTAGCTTACGAAAGAGTTGCAAACCTCTTAGAAGCTCCTTAAATACGAAACAAATGATGTATACGACTGGACGTGCCAAATAATCGTAATCTCATTTCGTTTGCTTATTTATCGGCAGTCTACCCACCTGATTTTCTATCCCACGCCAGATTCTTTCATTTGGGTTATTTTTACTTTCGGTTTACGTCGTCCCCCGGCTACGTAAGCAACGAATTAAACGAGAAATGAGATTCGAATTATTGTAGGTGGCAGAGGTATCGTATTATAAGAAGGATATATAAAAATATGTACTCACTTTTTCGGTGACCAAGCTTATACCTCCCCTGGGCGAGTCAAAGTTGATCACTTGGGAATTATGCGACCATGTAATTGTAGGCGGTTCGGGAGCGTATTGTACGACGCAGGTCAGGTTTATCGTGGATCCCATGTTGATGAACAATTCCGGACTACCTAGGATTTCCGTAATCGGTTCTGAAATAAAAAGTAACCAAACTTAATACAAAATGTTCGAAATACATTGCAGCTAAACAACTTCGTCAGTTCCTACGCGATAACAAAATGCTCCCACACAATCAATCGGGTTTTCGAACTCTCCACAACACTTCTTCTGCCTTGCTGCATGTTACAAAAGATTTATGAGTCTAAATTAAACTCATACTCTTGGACTATAGCAAAGAGTTCGATACCTTGGATCATTTCCTTCTCTTAACTAAACTAAAATATGGAAAATGGATTAAAAATATTGCTCCTTCATTTGCTGCTATTGTTTTGGAAAGGGGTGTTCCCAGGGCAGTCTTCTGGGACCTATTCTGTTCTCAGTTTATACAGCTAACTTCTCTACCCTTCATAAATTTTGTAAATCTCACCAATACGCTAGTGAAGCTTTAAATGCTGCTACTAAAATAAATTTAGATCTAAAAATAATTTCCGAAGCGTCTGCGGCTCATAACTTCTTATGGAATTCTAACAAAACGCAGATGTTATTATTTATAAATAAAAGCGAAGAAATTGTAAAAAAACGCCTCTTTTAAGATTAAGCTAAATGATTATGTGTCCTTTTTTGGGAGTAAAAACTTATTGAACTGAGGTGGCTTAAATCCATTTATCAAAAAAAATAAGAAGTAAAAGTTCAGATTTTCACGAAATTATATATTTTGACATGACAATTGTTTCGACAACACCGTGTCTTTATCAAATGTAATATTTACAAACTAACTGCTACTATATATACCGAAAAATGACCATAAAACCTTAATTAATGTTGTTGAGAGAATTTAAGTTCAATAAAGGAAAGGTATTTAAATCTAATTGATTGAATTTGTCATTTTTTTAATCTCCATTGCTTCCAATAAATTTAATTTTCTACTTTTTGTGGCTGTATGTAAAATATCAAAATTTTCTAACCGCTCTTTTATGTTCGTTAGTGCGTTTCTTGGAGGATCTACCTGTTTGTCCAATATAAATTTTAGGACAAGATCCGCATTTCAGACATCTTTTTTGAGATTTTGGATATTTCGTTTTATTGTTTTTCAAATATTTTCCTATTGTGTTGTTAGTTCTGAAAGCTATTTTTAAACCACATTTCGGCAAATGTTTTCACTAGGTTCTCCTATGTATGTAATTGCTTTAAATTGTTCGTGTTCTGTATTAGGTTTCGGATAGAGTTTACTGTTGTCTGGATTTGTTTTTTTATTTATAATTTTATCTATAATGGACGGATTTTAGCCGTTGTTCAGTGCAATTTATTTAATGATATTAGGTTCTTTGTTTTAATTTTCTGTTAAAAGTGGCGTATTAAGAAGTCTGTGTATAAAAGAGTTAAATGCAGCCATTTTGTGTGTATAAGGGTGATTTGAGCTGTTATGTATGACTGTCCGTGTGTGAAGGTTTATGATATATTGAAAAATCTAATTTGTGTTGCGCTTTCGTAATAGCTGAGTCTAAAAAATTAATAGAGTTATCCTGTTCAATCTCGATAGTGAGTTTTATACGATTATGTAATGAGTTAATGTAATTTAAAAAATAATTCAATTGTCTGTCCGTTCTAACAAAGCAAGCAAATATATCATCCACGTATCTATACCACCATAAGAAACTTTTAATTAAAGGATGTTCTAGTATGAACGAAAGGAAACTTTAGCGCTAATTCCGATTGCCATGCCTATTCAACTCGTTCGGGGGATCTCCTTAGACGGCCTAGGTTTAGACTGAGGAAGTCTGAGAACAACGCATTGAACCTGAAATTGTATAATGTTTTGCCAGGTACCGTGAAAAAGATGAGCAATAGAAAATTTAAAGAATTCCTGCAACGTCATTGTTTTTACTCCCTGCGAGCATACATTGACACTGTCACTGGTATCGATGCGCTATAAAACTGTATAGTACTGTCTAATTTTGTTTGTATTAGATGTGTGTTTTTATGTTATTTATTAATTTGATTTTATTGCACTTGAATATCACTTCTGACTTGCTACAATTATACATCCCTTTTTGTACGAAACGTAGTCAATAAATGAATCTATCTATCTATCTATCTATGATATTTTCCAAATTATCCATAAAAATCTCGGCTAACAAAGGACTAAGTGGGTTTCCCATAATCAAACCTTTTTTAGAGATATAAATCTGTCCGCTAAATTCAAAATAATTTTGGTCTAAAGATACTATTAAGCAATCTAATAAATTTTGTTTCACCAATGGGTTAACCCATTTCCGGGTTAGGGTGAAATCTACTAAATCTATCACATCCATAGGTGGAATACTGAGAAATAAGTTTTGTACATCAAAAGACAATAGTGTTGCATTAGAAGGGATTTTGATATCTTTAATTTTGTTGATTAATTCAAAAGAATTTTTTATTGCAAATGTTGGTTTAAAATCTGTGTAGAATTTATTAAGAATATTTACTAATTTTGTTGAGAGTTTATATGCTGGAGCTGTTACATAAGACACTGCTGGTCTAATGAGCATATCTTGTTTATGTAATTTAACTAAAGAATATAATTTCGGCGGTTGTGATTTCATAATTGTTAATAAATACTTGTCTTTGTCACTAAATAGTGTGGAGTTAGCAATTACTCCCTTGGCTTGTCTTTGATATAACTCGGTAGAATCGTATTTGATAAATGGAAAAACCTTATTTAGTAAAAATTTAGGATTATGGTGACCCGCGGTTTTCTCAGCATCTTGCCTCGGTGTTACAAAAATCCTTCTATAAGTTGAAGACATTGTATATTTATAAACATCATCTCAGCAAAGAAGTCAAACTTAAACTCTGTAGTATTTGTTTGATAAACTTTGCAGAGGAAATGATATTTATGATCGAGACGCCGGCCATTGTCTGAAGACACATTGCGTTCCTAAACACACTTCGCTTACTTTCCAGAGATCTTTTAGCTATAATGCAGTTAAAATATTTAATCAAATAGCTTATGCTATAGCGTCCCTCCACAAAATAAAGTCCTTCAAAAAAGCCTTAATATTGTATATTAGGCCCGCCAGTATGAGTTTATGATGTGTCTATTTCTTCTACTTACGATGTATTTTGTTGATAATTATAGTAAAGGTGCTCTTGTCTTGGTTCTTGTGGTTACATGGAAGAGCGCAATTTGCGAATGTCGCCACTCTTGCGTTGTAACGTATATTGTAATATTATGATTTTTAATAAAAACAGTTTATTGTTATTATTATTATATACATATTACATTTATAATAAGCAATTATAAAACATGTACAAATAGGATTGCACAACAAAAATAATATCAAAAAACTTGAAGATACTACGATAAGAAATCATCTCATCCAAATTGTTCATAACAATTATTCTCCTAAAACATTCAAACTTTAATTGTAATTTATAAAATTATTCGAGGGATGATATATCAAGTGTTGCTTGAGGTACCTTAGAAAGATTAATGAAAGGTATTGATATTCATTTTAAATTTGTGCGTGGTGGCAAAAGTATAATATTAGAGTGAACAAACATTGTAATATCATCTTTTTAGATGAAAGCTGGGATGACGAAAGAATGGTGAAAACATAAGAATGATGCTGCTGAATGCCAAAAACTCAATAGAATGGTACAAAGAAAGGTTAGAGAAGCGAAACACAATGAGATAGAGGGAATATGAAAGAATTAAAGAACTACCTGCTAAATACGATTAATTTAATATAAACGAAAAAATTAAAGAAATAACAGGAATATCTAAGATAAACAGTAGACAATCTGACCTACGAAAGCGAAGAAACGATTGTTGACCGAAAGGACATCAAAAAAACGTGGAAGAAATATATAGAAATTTTATTTCACGATAGAAGGAGAGGTTCACCAATCTCTCCGAGAGAAACAGGCCCCAAAATTGTTACTGATTAAACTGCAGCCGTATGAAAATAGAAAAGGTCTAGGGCCAGATGAGATTCAATCAGAATTTCTTAAACTCCTTGAATCGAATATTATAGTCGTTTGTGAATTGTCTCCAAACATTTTTAGAATGTCGAAATAGCGATCTTAAAGTGCGCGGTGGTGGGGTTTTGTTAGCTGTTAAGAATATATACAAATGTTGAGATAGATTTTAATGTGTCATCTACAGATTTATTGAAGGCCAAGGAATTTCTAAATAATTTTATGTTTATATATGTCTATGTTGTTTAAATTTCACCCAATAGCACGCTTTTGGAAAGAGAAGGTCTATTTTCGTATGCGACGTTGGCGACATTAATATTACATATTTGAATGATTATTATGTTAATAACTATTGGCATCAGCAGAGAGATATGTTCTAATTTTTTTTTTTTGATTGACATCAAGTAAGTTTGGTTGTTAAAAAGAATAATCGCCTACTTGATGTTGCTGCAACCAATAGTAATGGCAGAGTATGTGAAAGCAGTTTTAGGTTTAGTCGATGCGCATTAGAATGGTAATAGATATGAAACTGTCAAAGGAAAAGACAGTGTCACCTAATGTTAACTCCCAAGATAATTTTGGTGGTCTGCACCAAATGCTACAGGCTACTTTCTGGAATGATCTTGAGTCATTTAGCGGTGTCCATTTAACTGTTAATCGTTTCTATGTCAAAATATTTGCGATTTTTGGAATTTCTGAAAAATCAGAAAACTAATAACGTAGAAATAAAAATTCAATTCATCCAACTACGAACCAAAATAAAACAAGATTACTTTCGAAAAATCGTCACTGGGCGGGGCAAGTTCGTAGAGCTTAGCGCGAAGCAGCTTTTTATTATAAAAGTAAGGTGCTTCGCGGTTTCGTGTGGTAAAGGGACGTATTGTTTTTCTATCGTGCTCCAGCGGGCCACTAAGGAACTTTCGCAAAATCGATGTAATTTAATTGTGCATGCATCCTGCATACTCCTTCACATCTCATCGAACTTCAAAGTTACAGCAAACATCGGTAATTATTAAAATTTACATAAATAATAGCGTTGTCGAATGATATTTTTTCAAATATCTCGCGC